ATGTACCTACTGTGATGTGTTGTTCTGGGGACTTAAGCAAGCAGTCACTGGCAAACAGTTAACTCCTCTAGGAGGTCTTTCTGGCTTTGGTATATCTTGTCTCCATCCATAAAACATCAGTCTTTTGTAGTATTACTTTACAAACATGGGCCCATATTTTCTGGATCTAAGATGAAAATGTAGAGCTTTTCCATGGATCTTTCCTTATGTTGTATAAGAGATCCTTGCATAAGGACTTCCGTCAGAAAGGCATGTTTAATTTAGCTTGATCATCTGCATAAGTGTTTACCACTCCCCACACCCCTACCCCCAGCTTCTGTAGTGTCTCTTATACTTTGAGACATTGTCTTCACAAAAAAATTTCTTTTGAGTTATATGAACACATGAAATATTCCATGAACTTGACTTTCCTTTTTAATTGGTATACACGAGAGACATAAGGTTAAGAAAAAGTTACAATGATTAAAAAAAACAATTTTCTTCATAGTATCTTGAAGTTTTAAAGTATATTAAAACATATTAACTATCATATTACTTTTTCATATTTTGATATGTCTAAGAGGGAGTCACAAATACAGAGACATGAATTAATTTTGCTTCTGTTCAGGTATTAGATTTTATGAGACTTGAGTGGTTATTGTGTAAATTACCTGGCATGATCCCTGCTCAAAATTTGGCATGAGAGTGTCAAAATATTGATTGTGGAAATGGATACTTCTTGACTGACAGAAGTACAGTTCTGACCCTCCATTGAGTGAGAAGTGTAATGAAGCTGAATACTATAAGGAGAAATTAATTATACCTTATAGTTTATGGACCACCTGGTAGAAAAATATTGGCGTTTGAGAGCAGAACAGTTGTACTGTAAGTGGTATCAGATTTAAGGGAGATTCCAGTACAAACCTGAGAATACTTCAACCAATCTAGACAAGAGTAACCTTATTTTGAGAAGAGGATAAACTTTGGCTACTGTATCACCAAGTAGGGATGACAGGCATTGGTTTATTGTTGGCATTTTGTTGAGTAGTATCTTTAGGGAATGGCCTTGTCCTTTTTAGTAGTTCACCTGTTTATTTATTTATTATATCTTTCCATGTTTTTTATTGCTGCATTATAGTTGTACATGATGATGAAACTTGTTACATATTTGTACATGTGCACAATATAAAATTATAACTTGACCAATATAATTCCCTAGCCCTTCCCTCATCCCTCTCCTCATTACCACCCCTGGTCCTTTTCTTTGAATTGATCTCCCTTTGATTTTCACAAGATCCCCACCCTTTATCTGTGTCTCCATTTTTCCTTTCCAGCTTCCACATATGAAGGAAAACATGTAACCCTTGACTTTGAGTCTGGCTTATTTCACTTACTATAATGCTCTCAAGTTTCACCTTTTTCCTGCAAAAGACATAATTTCATTTTCCTTATGGATTAATAAAACTCCATTGTGTATATGTATATATACCACGTTTTCTTTACCCATTTATTGATTGATGGACACCTAGGCTACAGGTTCAATAGGTGTTAAATTAAGAAGGGAGTCTGGGTTGGTGAGATTGCCAGTCACACACACAGCAGTTTGACATGACTTCCTTTCCTGTTCTAGGGCAGCAGCAGATTGGAGCTCAGTAGTACCTCCCTCACCCTATCAGCCTGCCCACCCAGTACAGAGCCCTGGAGTCAAAGAAAAATTTCTTCTGAAGGAAGAAGGCAAACATGGTGCTACCCAGACTGCTGAAACTGGTCATGTTGTCCATGTGGCTGGGTAGGAATGGTCCCTGTGGGAAGGGGCCTTTTTTTGTGACCTAGAGATTGGGGAACAGGATAGCCTTAAAGGGATTTTGGGAGGGATGGTTAGCAGTGTGTAAAAGTGCACCTTTTTTGTCCCAAGAACTTGTCCCTCAACTTTCTGATTCTGTCTTTTTTCCTTCAGGATCCAGTTTTGCCCAGAAGGTGACTCAGGCCCAGCCAGCCATGTGGGTGCAGGAGAAGGAGGCTGTGAGCCTGCTCTGCTCCTATGACACCAGTGCTGGAAGTTATGATCTCCTGTGGTACAA